TGGAGGATGGGAGAGGAAGAGACGTGGCAGACAAGAAGCGCTTGAACCACACCGAGGGAATGCCGATGCATGCCGAGCATCAGCGGAGTTCAAAGCTGTCCCCGGCTCAAAGGCTTGAAGCATTCGCAAAGTCAGTCGTTTCATTGGACACATCCTTCGTTCGTGGCGAGAAAAATATTTTGGATGCAACAAAGATACAAGTAAGGTTAGTTACTGCCCTCAGGAAGCTTCCAATATTTTATTAGCCGGAAGTAAGCTCGTAGCTACGGTTGCAAGTTGGAAGAGCTCGTTTCCTCACGCTCAGGAATCTGTTAGGCGAACGGCTAGCCTGTCAGGCACAAATAGAGACTTAACGGTTAGCAAATTGAATTCGCGCCTGTACTCCTGGCTGTCCGCCGAGTAGCATCAGACCAGTCAGGCGTTTGTTCGATCATTTTGATTGTAAACCGTCAGTTACGTACACGACGGCGGTGTATGGTAGAGCGAGATGTCACATACACTCGTGTAGTAATTGAAGTGGCAAAGGCAGCCCACGCATCAAAGTGCAGAGGACTTGGAGGTCAATTTGTGGAAGATTCGCCAGTAGAATGACTTCGAATGAAACCTTTTCGTGCGGGCAATCTTTGCCTCGAACTCATTTGAACGCTACCATGTAGCACTGGTACTTCCAATGCTATATCCAAATCGCTGGTCACAACGAGAGAACATTGCAAGTACTTGCCAATTCTGATTACACTATAGTACTAAGCAGAAGACTATTGCAGGATCTGGCGGGCTGAAAACGTCATCATCAACTAGTCAAGTTGCTGCCAGGAGGACGCGTAGTGGACGGCAACACGCAAGCGAGCGTGAAGGGTAGTACTTTGTCGCTAGCGGCAAAATTTGTCACGGTGGCCGCGCACGGATCGAATCGTCGCACGGCGGCGGCGAGACAACTATAGAATCCTATTGATTTTCCCTGGGAGCAAGCATGCCGTACCAATGATATCGAGCCCTCTCGTGAGACTCGCAGCATCCATGGCCCGTATAAATATTCTGCCAGCTGCCAGCAACGACATATAGCCCTCTTCTTCTTCTGCACCTCTCAAAACCACAGAAACATGACCGTCCAAAGCGTTATCACCCTCGGCGGAACCGCCTCCCACATCACGGTGGGCAAGGTTGCTGTAGGTACCACTGCTCTGAATCAAATGCTGAGTCAAAAATCTGACACAGTTTTACTTGCTAGCATGGTCTTATGATGATGACGTTCGTACCACCACGCTGACTAAGCCCGCGACCGCACTTCTAACCCAGACAATAGATGGACCCCGAACCCCGTCCCCGACGAGATCTGCTTCGAAGCCATCAAGGCAGGCGTGGACGCTATGCCGTCTGGTGTCAAAATGCTCTTGAACAGCGGTGTGTCCAGCCGTCTGCCGTATTCCTGCTCTTGAGATCATCAGCATGCTACTTGTGGTACAGGCGAGTTTTATGCGGTAGACTTTAGTACGGCGAACCTCGAGCTCCTGGCACGATTCTTTGAAAAGTATCCCGAGTATGCGGAGAGGACCTTCCTCTCAGTCAAGGGTGGTGGCAAGGCAGAGGGCTTCCCTGTCACTGACTCGTCGTGAGTTTTTTTTATAAGGTATATGCTGCATCAAGAAACTGATTTTATGTGTGTGTAGCCCAGAAAACCTCAGGCGTAGCGTGACTGCCGTTAATACCGCTCTGCGCGGTACCAAGAGGCTTGACCTCTTCGAGTGTGCCCGCGTCGACCCAAACTATAGTGTCGAGCAGACCATCGGGATCCTGTCTGGCTTCGTCAAGGAGGGTCTGTTCGACCACATCGGCATGTCTGAGTGCAGCGCAGAGTCACTCCGGAAGGGTAACGCGGTGCATCCGATTGCTGCGGTCGAGATCGAGGTCAGCCCGTGGTCTATTGAGCCGGAAACGAAAAATGTGCTCAAGACCGCCGAAGAGCTCGGTGTCGCTGTTGTTGCATACTCGTAAGTAGCCATGGTTTGATATCCGGCGTAGTGACTGACTTGAACCAGGCCTCTCGGACGTGGCTTTCTAACCGGCCAGATCAAGAAGTTCGAGGATCTTCCAGGTTTGCGATGCCCAGCGTATATTTCAGCACTAGCTAACACCATGAATTCTGCAGAGGCAGACGTGCGGCGGCACTTAACGCGCTTCCGCAACCCCGAATACTTCCAGCACAACCTCATCTTGGTCGACAAGCTGACCGAAATTGCACAGAAGAAGGGCATTACAACCTCTCGACTCAGTATTGCATTCGTCAGTTCCTTGGGGGACAAAGTAATCCCTCTTCCTGGATCCTCGTATGCAATCTTTTTTCTTGCACCTTTCAACAAAGCTGAAACAGACACTTCGCTCACAGACACGTGAAGCGCACGCTGGAGAACACATACTCCGCAGACGCGAAGCTGACGAAGGAAGAATCCGATGCGGTCTGGGAAATTATCAACAACTACGAGGTGAAGGGCGATAGGTACCACGGAGCGGACCCTAAGGCCAGCCGCCTCTGGGGATGATTTTCTCTGGAAGAGTTGTAGAATATTCTGTTGAACAAGCGCCAACGTCGTGGCGCACCTTCCGCGACTGTTAGGCGCTGCGGGCGGAATCTTTCATGACACCTTTATGGGGGCGAGGCTTATGTAATGCAAAGAGAAACTGGGATCACACATCGTTATTTGAGTAAAAAGGGTGAGTAGTTGATTCGATATGGAACAGAGAGTACAGCAAAAGTGCACAGCATTGAAACACAGATACAGTCGCGGCGCAGCCCGCAGGTCTTCATGCAGACGCGGAGTCGCGGTCCTCCTTCAAGGAGTCTTGAAACCGTCTACATGTCAAGTAGAGGCCACTTTCATGCTAGCAAGTCAACGGCAGAGCTACGTGTGTATCAGTCAGGCTGTCCGCTGTACGAGCACAATGGGCATGCAACGCACTTTTAAGATCGCAAGTCTACTTGAAAGGACAGTTGGGAGCGTGAGAACCGCGCCAGCCGCAGTGACAGCACTGGGGTTGGCCGCTGCTCCCCTTGTCCGAAGGAACTTGGCTGATGGCAGCGCGTGCAGCGTTCGTGGGCACGGCAGTATCGTTGACAGCAGCGGAGAACACGGTGGCGCACATGGTGAAGAGTATCAAGTGTTTGTTTTTGGGTTGGTGAGAGGGTTGTAAATGTTTTTGCGGAAGGCTTGTAGTATGAGCAGCGGCAGGATAAGGAAGAAAGAGGGAGTAGGATGCGCGGGTATATATACTTTCGTGAGCTGATGTGGGAGCCGCCTTGATGCTGGGCCAGCTGATCGTGGCCCATCCACGCTTTGGAAGCGTGATACGCGAGCCTTGTGCACCCTTTCAAGCTTCAAGCTTCAATATTGAAGCGCAGCGCGGTCTGTTCTCCCTTCTGCCGCGGGGGTTTCATGCCGCGAATGGCGGCCTGGGAATTGGAAGGGCTCGATGGCCTGTGCATCAACGCCACCGAAGTACGGTAGCCCTATGGGCGCGGCGCCACATCCGAATAGGGTCGCCAAAAAGGTGGTCCGAGAAGGGCTGAGAACACATACCAGGATAACGGTCTTGATGGGGGCCATGTGCTGCGTGCCGAAGACACTGGGAGTGGGAACGCGCGTCGAATAGGAGTGAGAAGCCCTCACGTGCCCCAGAGCCCCCGAAACAACCCAGAGAAAGAGAAAGCTATTTTCGGATTCAGGTGGCTAGTGTGGACACTAAAGATAACATACACGTTAACCTGGAGGTGAATGAGTACGACAGAGCTCTCGGGAATCAGCATCGTGACCCACTATAACTCCGCATATTCAGCGCATATTAGTAGGAAGCAAAGAAGAATAATATATCAGACAGACTGCAGTAAAATGATGAGTAAACGCGTTGTGCTATAGACTACTTGAGCATTTTTCCCTACTGTACTGATTAAGTTTTCTTTGTCTCTGGCGTGTGCGACACTGCGGACGATGACGCCCGACCTCAGACGCGCCTGCCCACAATTGACATCAACATACATCGAAGGGTGGTCCCACACATACCAAACAGCAAGCGACTCTCCTGCGTGAACCATGAGAATGGTGCTCGTGAGTGCCGATGTTGTCACAGTCTGCTGCTATTACAAGAGACGCTGAGAATATATACGCAGCGTAACGTAGTCTTGATTTCAAGGATAATAAATGAGGGATAAATAGCCTGGAACATGCTTGATCAGACGATATCGATGACCGTTGGCCACAATCTATAACCTCTCCAGGCCTGAGCCGCCGCCCAGCCCTTGACCTATGCTCGTGGAAGTCGCCGCAGGCTGTGGATGTCGCTGTGCGACGTAGGCCGTGGCGTCCATGGCGAAGAAAGAGTCGGGACACGGAGCCTGTGAGACGGCTGGCGACGTCCAAAAGCGAAAGCTGGCGGCCGACGGGGGACGGAGAGGGAGATGAAGGCGAGAGTGAAGAGGGCGGCTTTGGCCTGCTCTGCCGTTGCACCCAAAGCCTCTGCCACGTGGGCGGGCAACCTGTATTGATTCCATCTCTCGACCTTCCGCAGCGAACTGAAACAGCAGCGTCACATAGTCCCCTCAGAGATATCGCTCCGGATCCAGACTCTCCACAGACACGCCGCCGTGCCCGATGAACTCCTCTCAGAGCACGGTGTGCAACTCAGCGGTCGCAGCTACAAAGTCCCACCAGCACTGTTCCCGATAGCGCCGAAACACCGCCCTCTGACCCTCCTCTCATGTCCGCCCAGCGGCCGACACCGCCATGGCCCTCCTTGTACAACTTCCTCATCGAAATAGAGCCCATCCACAATAGGAATCCAGTGCAGCCAAAGGGACGCTATCTCTACGACCCAACCGGTACGTAATTGCATCCCCTGCGATGCCCACCCGAGCCTTCATTCCTTGACCTTCTCAGACATCTTCCGATTCACGCTGTATTGGACGCTGATCTTCTACACGCCGGCGTTTGCCCTCTGCGGCACGTATGTGTTTCTGAATATCGCCTTCACCCCGCAGTCGCGCGCGCGCCGTCTCCTGCTCTTCACGCCCCGCAAGGGCCAACCGCAGTCCGGGCTGCCTCTGCGAACATACAAGTCCGCGCCCGAGTCTTCGAGTCCGACAGATAGCTCCGCACTGTCTCCGTGCGAGACGAAGTACAGGCACAACGAACGGCGCTCGCGACTCACGTTTGCGCTTCTCGTCGCTTTCATGTTTGCAGGCTGCGCCGTCGGAGGTGCGGCTGTCGGGTCTGCTGTCCTAGGCTATGTGATAGCCGGGCTCTTCAAGGCTGCGCGATTCAACATGTCGACGTGAGTGCCATTTCTGCACGAGTTGTATGGGGCATTGAGCTCCGCAGACAGGTGGATACCGTTTCTCATGGCACTCATGCAGAGCCTTATTTATCTTCTCGGGTATGTTTTCATCACGCTCTTTTGCTTTTGATTGGCACTGCATCCGCTGATCAGCAAGCAGACGGCGATGAACAATTCATTCAGACGTTTTTCTGCCGAGCATTGTACGACTATCAGACAGACGACACATCATCGCTTTCCTTTCACCGCGGCGATATCATCGAAGTTCTCACCCGCCTCGAGTCTGGTTGGTGGGATGGCCTCCTCGGCGACGAGCGCGGCTGGTTTCCGTCAAACTACGTCAACGTCATATCGTACGAGGAGGCCGAAACTGCGTTGGGTGCGTCCGAGTATGAGGTCACTCAGTCGAGCGTGGGCGACGACTCCACTACGGTCGATATGGCACACAGTCTGGGCCAGAGTCTGACACAATCAAACTATGACGGAGATTGGCTCGAGCCAGAGTCTGAACACGATCACACCGATACGAGTAGCAGGGGAGGTGTGGTGAACGGACGTAGCAGGGGTGGAACACAGGCGCATGACTTCTGGGTGCCGGAGGTATCGGCAGATGGACGCGTGAGTCGAGCCTGCTTTCTCGTTCTGTCATTGACTTCATCGAGCGCACGTGCGTAGATCTTTTATGTCAATACGCAGACCGGCGAGCACTCGCAAGACCTTCCCACAGAAACTGACGAGGACACTGACAACGAACTTGCCGTGGGGGTGCGACAGTCTGGTTCGCGACTCGGATCCAATGGCGTGTCTCATGATGCAAGCTTTGGCATACCTCAACAATCTCAGACTCCCGAGCCTTGGGTGCGTCGTTTGGCAGACGACGGCTTGTCCTACTACTACCTAAACAAGCTCGACGGGACGATCTCATGGAAAGCACCGCATTCGGACCATGCACCACCTGCCTACGATTACGCCACCAGTTCCAGCTCGCACACCGTTAATCATGTTCCCCCTTTGGCGACTCGGCTGCGTTCGGACTCGTCTGTCTCTCGGAGAGAGCGAAGCTACAGCACGACTGATCGCGCCAGCACCTACTCTGACGACTCCGACGTTCAGCCCCTTGGCCGAACTCGTGCGCAGGCGTCAGCGAGCATAATGCAACCTACTAACGGCTCGCACCACAACGGAAGCGTAATGCACGGTCAATCGGTCGTTGCAGACTTAACCCCTGCTGAGCAGCTGGCAAAGGTTCTGCAGCACTCACTCTCACCTAACCTTCCCGAAACTCCTCTCGAGCTGCAGGATCATGTACGAGAGTCCATATCTGCTGTTGTCGACTTCCTCAAGTCCACTAGCCACGCTAGGCGCCCAGAGCATACAACAGAAGTGAACAGCCGTGTATTGCAAGTCGTGACCACAGTCCGCAACTTACTCTACGTTACTGCAACACCCACAGGCCATATACCAAGTTACCTATACCCCCGTCCCTCGAGCGACTCTCGCTCTGCGTCATCATCGCAGGCACTCCAGACGCACCTCAAAGCGGCGCACCGGAAGGTCGCTGGAACCCTTTCCAAGCTGGTCCTCTCTGCACTCGCTATGCAGTACGATCCTGCGCTCTCTGTCGGCGAAAAACCGAATCGCATGGAGTCTGATGCCTCAGAGCTCGAGCGTTCGGTCGTCGCCTTCGTGGAAGAACTGCATCGTTACCAGCGCGAGCACCCCACAAAACTTCCGGAGTCGAAGCGCCTACTCGGTGTATTTTTACCGAACAACGTCGGCCCTGGCCTCCCTGGCGCAGGCTCAGCAGGCGACTGGAAGGGCTTTGGCTATGTAACGTCTGCGCAGGACAGAAGGTCGCCCAGGCGTATCCTCGACCCCGAGGTAGTTAAAGAGCTCAAGACCGTAGCGGGTACAATGGATCGCCTGCTCACCGCGCTCCTGACGACTTGGCGCAGCATGGAGAGCGGTACGTCTGTTTATCCTAACTCCGAGGCTCACATTCCTAAAACCTCCGAAATAGAGCGCATACAATCGGAAGGGCGCATCCTCATCGGACACCTGTCATCTATCCTCGCATACGTGGGCGACATTGACGTCGCTCAGCAGGTCGACGTCGACGCCGTGCGGGCGGAGACGTTGACGCCCCCGTACGCAGAGACTGTCGAAAAGGCGCGCTTCCTGCTTCGCACGCTCGAGGTCGCCGTCCAGGCGCTGTACGACGACGCTACCTCTCTTCTCGAGGCTGTCCAAGCGCCACGAGAATGGGACCAGCACACGCAGCATCCTGGTTCGGACAGCGTGTCCCAGTATGAGTTCGTCGAGGGCCTGGTGATGACGCTGAAGACAAATCTTAACATTACTGCCTCCCAACTCGAGCACCTCTACCTCATTGGACGAGACCAAGCCGACATCGGGACCAACGCATACAGTAGCTCCATCGAGTGGCGACGTTCCCGGGGCAGTACTGTCTTGTATGACACTGCCACTATTTCTGGCAACCCAGCACACGAGGCAGAGGATGTCGTCGACATGGAGCTCGCGTTCTCGAGGCCGGCACTACGCACTGTGCCGTCATTAGATTCAGGCCACGCGTCTTCGACCATATATCACAATGGGTCGCAACAGCATTCTGAGACGTCGCTCAACACGGAGCGGTCGCGTTCGGAAGATCCAAACGAGCCGGTCACCCCGACATGGCACGAGGGCTCGTCGGACGTGGGCACGATGATCGCACACGACGAAGACGACATGTTCGCCGACGATACCGGCTCCCTGCTTGACGTTGCCGGGCGTGAGTTCACATGTCGCGCTCCAATGTTTCATCGTGCTAACAACATCT